TAGGCCTCGTGAATGTTGGCTGTGGTTTTTGAGGTTGAAGTGAGGGGAGCAGAGTGGGAAGTTGTGGTTCATCAGTCATAGAGTTAGTGTGCAGGCTGGAGGGGGTTTTTCCTCATACTACAGAGGAAGAGGAGGGGACTGGAAGCTAGGCTGGGGTGATTTCACATGGGATATTTGATGTCATTGAGAGATGTCTTTTTGTTTTCATGCTTTACTGTACATGTTGTGTCACAGTCTAGCTAGCTGGACCTCACTTCCCTTTCTTCTCTTCTCTCCTTTCTAATTTTTATGCCTCTGCACCAGTGATAGCTATGGTTGGAGGCCTCATGTTTCCCAGTTGTCTGTCCATCCATCCAGCCCATTCTTGTGAACACCTTGAGGGAATTTCTTCAAATTTGGTACAAATGTCCACTTGGATTCAAGTATGAACTGATCAGATTTTGGTGGTTGAAGGTCAAAGGTCAAGGTTAGTGACCTCGCATCAGACAAGACAAAGCACTAGAACTCAGTTCTCATGCCCCGGCCTCACCTCCATGCCTTGCCCATTCCAGCCACCCTGGCCACACCATCACTTTTTCATGACAGCTTCAGAAACACCGCAACAAATGGAGTTACATAAATATTTAAATAAACACTGACTTGCATCCAAAACAAATAGGCAGGCAGACTTACTAAGAAGGCCCATTGCTGCGTCTGCACGCAGCTGTAACAGAATATACAACACTTCAACTCACTGTAAACCATTTGTAATGGGGAACATACCAGAAAGATAGCAGACTGCATGGGGAAATGCTGAGCCTCTTCAATGAGACTGTTTTTATGGTTGAGTTGCTCAACCACTCAGGGAAGGACCTGTGGACACTTTGTGCCACTGTTGTTGTGAAGGCTGTTAAATTTGTAATGGAAACTTCACTGGCGCTGTTATAGTGTTAGTGTTCTGTGACTGTGGGTGTAACAGAATGACTGTGTGTGTGTGTGTGTGTGTGTGTTCAGTTTTCTGTGTGAATCTCGCATTTGTATGATGTATGACTTACACTCACCACACCACATGCCTTCACATTTTTTACTGTGGTGGTGATATAAATGATGAAATGCTGCAACACTGATTTGCTTCTCGCCTTAATGGCAGCCTGCTTGTAATGGGGCTGATCTCTGCATTGTTTTTGGTCACTTCACAGACACTCAGACTCTGGGCTTCAAAGCCTCAGGCCTTTCACTTGCTGGGAGATGTGATGGAGCTGCTAGAGGATGAATAATCACCATCACTACAACAGAATGTTAATAGGGTACTGGACCGGTGGCTCTACACACCAGCTGAAAACTAAGAGAAAAAGATGGTGGGAGTGGTTGTAGTGAGTAAGAACAAAACAAAGGAGGAAAACAGAGAGGAATGATGAATGGTCAGAGTTTGTCCAAGAGGATGGCCCAACTGAGAGTGAATGTTAGGACATGGCTGAGATGGCATGAGTCAAAGGAAATAACCCCACTTTAAAAGAACCTTTAGGACAGGTTAGGCCTGGGCAGGTTTAAGAACTTTGGATAATCCTGTCATAACGTCTCTTTCATATGAATTGAGGTCTATGGTGTTCTCTCTGTCTTTCATGTACTTTTTCCCTGCCTGCTTCTCTTTCTCTCAATCCCCTCCCTGCAGAAATGGCTGGAGCCAGGTCACTATAACAAGATATGGCAGTTTCATTTGGAATGCGGACTCCAGCATTAACAGAGTCCTGGTATGGTATTTAAAACAAAGCAGAGAGCTGCAAGCAAGCTGCCTTTGCACTGATAATACCTGTTGTAATTTAGCACACTTTCTAATTGGCCTAACAGACCTTCTGTGGGGAAGGATTTTCATTCTGACCTACCTCAGTGCCACCTTTGAGGGCTGGGCAAAAATAATAATCTGAAGAAGAGTGATTGTTTCTCCAGAACAATGACTAAGAATACTTTCCTGAAGGTATTATTGATGTCAGGAGCATAGACAGTAGAAAGTCAGTGTGTTATATGCTGAATTCTGTGATATTTTTTTGAAAGTCTGCCCATGGCTCATTGCCAGGCTCTGTGCTGGCCTTTGTATTTCTGCCCACATGTACACATGTATTACTGGTAGCTGCATGTTGTGCTTTATTAGTGATACACGTTTTTGTGAAGGTATGCTCTATGTTGCGCACTGAATAGCTTCTGTACTCTCTTAGGTGTACTTTTGTAATTGTGTATTTAAACTTCATAATTGTTGGTTTCAAAAATTTCACACACAGCACCATAGTCTCCATTTTTTAGAAAGGCGGGGTCCATTTACAGTAGTAATGCAGGTGTGAATGTGTCTTGCAATGTATTATCCAAGTTGGTAAGGAGATGTTTGGATGGAACGGAATGTATTCCAAGCATAGGGTGGGCATACTGGGGCTGGGGGAGGTTAACCAGAGCACTTACACAAGTAGTGGGACTATGGTATTGACAGTGATAACCACCTGTGGAGTTAAAACCATGCATATGCACATTAATGCACACAAAACATACCTGTGCACAACTCATGTTCATGCTTAAAAAAAACACACATGCAGTTGCACGACATTATAATAACATACTTTACAAATAAACACACACTTAACTCTTTTTAAACTGCTCATTCAAGGCAGGTGTTATTTCTGCAATGCTGTGGATTTAAATATTAACATTGCTCTCAAGAAACAAAATTCATGACCATAAGCATTAACGCGTTGTACACTTGGCACAACAATTTTGAGTCAATCATGTTGTAAATGTGCAGGATGAGCAAAAGCACACCCCCACTTGGTTTACCTGCCATTGTTGATTTGAAAGCAATAATGTTACTGGTATGCTTTGTACTACTGGTATGTGTGCTATGTGTATGGTTGTATGTCATACTGGACATCACGTTAAACATCACATTTCTAATGCCAGGATGAGGGGATCTGTGTAAAACAACATTAAATAGGCAAAGCAGCAATAAAGATGGGCCAAATCTCCGCCAGTATAGTGGGATCTGTATGTACAAGAGGCTATAGACATTCAGAGCATGCACAGTCCCCAGCCACATGGCAGAGATCAGCAGCCATAGAGCTCTGTTATGTCTGTGTGGATCCCCTGCATAGAAAACAGGAATACACAGCCTTCTACAACAAAACATTATTGACAACCCTGTGATATCACAGCACTTTATGTAACACTCCCTATACTTTACTAAATAAAAGATGGCCCATAAAGCACAGTATGTGTTGTCAAAGTTGATTTTTGCCATCTATGATATAGGATATTGTATTTAGTATGTGAACACTGGAATTGATTGTACATAATTCACAGAAACATAGTAGCTGACATGTAAGAATGAGGGCGTAGGTTGGACCTTGTGGGGTGTCAAAAGTACAACAGTGTGCTCACAGTACTGTGCATAGTATGTAATGATACAACACTGGCATCATGACAAAAACAATCTGCTGTACTTCATAGTCCCCAAGTGCCAGAAGCACCTGGATGCTGAGTGTGACAGCATACTGTAAGAGTCCAGACACAATGATCTCCGTTTACATATACACAAAAACTTTACATACATGCATCTGTGACCTTAGTCACACTCCTACATACAGGGTTTTGAAGGTTGCCACTGTGACCTAATCAGCATAACTCACCAACCATTTTGTCCTTTGGCGCAGCAATAGATTCTTGTTGCAGTGCCAGCCCATTTGGCTGTTTTAGTGATTTTTGGGAGTGTGGCATCTGAGAGGGCACAGTGGTGCTTTGACATCACTGCTGTTTCATAACAACTGTGGGATTGAGCTGCTGAGTAAGGCAGAGCTTTAAATCATGGAATATGTCTTAATGTGTCTTCAGAGAGACATTCCTTCCCTCACCTCTGACACCCTGATGGCTTTTCATACCCCTACCCTACAGTCGGAGGCTCAGAAGTGTGAAATGCAGGACCTCTAGACTAAAAAACCCTTTCTTTCCCTCTGCCATCAGACTCCTAAACAGCTGACTCAGGAGCTACCTCATGTAATTCTATCTGTACTATCTATATACTCATTTTGCACATGCATAATTGCCCACTCACTGCTGAGTATTTACACTCCATGGCTCCCACATGGCATATATTCTCTCTACATTATATTGTGTTCTTGTATTTTTATTGTGCTTCTTTCACTTGCTGCTTTAAAGTGCCTTAGATTTGTGTTACTGCCTATTTAGATTTGTGTTATTGCTCATCTACTTCATATTTCACTTGTATTCTGTGGCATTCATGTGGACGGCAAAGTAAGAATTTCATTGTACAGGGAAACACCTTTCCTAACTGTGCATATGACAAATAAACACTTTGACCTCGACCTTTAACATCCACGGACCTCTGGCTAATCTGGTATAACGTGTGTTCTGGCCATATGCCTCTGTCTCAGTTCCTTTCATGCAATTTCTTCTTTATCTCTCACAAAAACCTTCTGTTCTCTCACTATAACTGTCTTGTGAGCACTGATGGTGTGTTTCGACCTTGAAGCCAATACCCCCTCTGTTAGCCTTCATTGCTGCTGTGTGATTTGTGTGCTTGACTGTTGCTGCGTGTGTCAGCACTGACAGTCGACCTTCATCTGGACCACAGCAGGCACACTAGGACATGTCAGGTCTAGGACACTGTGCATGCATGCATTCCCACAGTTGGCTTTCCGTCTGTAGGAGACGAGACCTGCGTGCCAGCGTTACATCACCTCAAGTGTCAGTTGAGCATCATATAACATGATACTGGGCAGCAATTGAAAATAACAGTGAATCATGAAGAGAGTTAAATAAAGGATGACTGCAGGACAGAGTGTCTCATGTACTATATATTGATTTTATTTGTCTACCTCTGTGATAGAGGTTTTCCAGCACAGGTCGAATGTTGGAACAAATCTAATTTACACAATGATCATAATGATGAACAACTGTATAAGTGATTGTTTAAGAAAGCAACATATGAATCCAAGGCCCTTTATGCCTGTCTTTTTTTCCAGAATCACGTCCTCTGTCTATCCCAATGAAAGTGATGCCTGACACCACCACAGCGGAATCGTGGACAGCCTCGGAGGAAAGAATGAAAGAGCTTATTGCCCAGGCCTGGGATGCTGTTAAACGCCTTACCCTACAGGTACCAAACTTGTTACCATTGTAGTTCTACTTGTGAATAGGAGCAGGTTATGCTTACAGTACAAGATACCCATTTCCTCTACTGGACTGATTTTGGGTGACAGTCCTTTGATATCATTCATTAGTCAATTTTATACCCACCTACTCCTGCTGGGCAGACTGACCCAGTGGTGAGTCCTTGTGCTACAAGACTGGAGATCAAGCACTTGTGTTAACATGAGTCTGCCCTGCTAAAAGGTTCATCAAGCCAAATTGAATTACCTTTATAACAATTTTTTTTTTTTTACTCCTATACTGTAAATGCTGTACGTCATTTTTGACCTCCCAGTATACACCAGTCTTTGCCACATTTATCTTTGGGGCTCAAGAATCTGCTGTAGTGCCTCTTTTTTGCTCTTTGACTTGACCTAAAATGGTAGTTATTGGTTATATGACTACACACTGGTCCCAAATAAACTTTAAAGACAAGTAACCCCACTTCCTATCCAGCTGTTTCTCTCTTCTGTTTCAGCTCAACCCAGCACAGCTTTGCTCTCTTTGTGGTTTGTAAGCATGTGGCATACAGGGGCCTCTGTTAGCTATTAGTCCATTAGCCTATTTTACATATTGTCTCATGTCTCTTTGTGGCAGACTGACTTTCTGGATTACTGGCTGGCTGGCAGGATGTCCCTGTCTGTCTGGTAACATGTCTAACTGGACATAAATGCTCCCATTTTGGGACTGCTTGCTGCACCATGACTGGACCAGTTAGCTTAGTCGACAACCAGGACCCTCTTGATGCAGGAACAGGATGTCATGGTGCATGTACATACAGTATGTGTGTATTTGCGCCTAGTGGTCATGTTGTACATTACTGTTGGGGCATGTGGTTAGTTGGTTCTCAGTAGTCAAGAATCTTTATTGTCATTACTCAAAGCATAACAACATTTTTCCCGGCAGCTCTTGGCTTAAAAGACAGACATATTATTTACATAACACACAATTGTATAAGTCAATATAAAAATATGAACAAATAAAAAGGGATGTATGGGACCTAATCAGGTCAGCAGCATGTTAGCAGCAAGAGTGTAGTAACATTATAAGGTGCAGCTCAGTGCAAATCTCAGTCTTTAGGAGGAGGTGTGAGGTCCAGTGTTCTGTGTCTGTCCATAGGGGGAGGTTGTGTGTGTGTGGCTGGGGTTGGGGGGGTGATTGATTTCACAGCTCTGGGGAAGAAGGTGTGTCTGAGTCTGTTTGTTTTAGTCTTTATATTCTTGTACCTTTTCCTGGAGGGAAGAGGCACAAACAGACTGTTGCCTGAGTGTGTGAGGTCTGCAGCAATCCGTCCCGCCCTCCTCTGGATCCGGTCAGTGTATAGTGAGTCCAGATCCAGAAGAGGACTCCCTACGATGCCCTGAGCTGTTCTCACCACCGGGTCAAATCCTTTCTGTCCTGTGCAGTGCAGGTCCCGTACCACACTGTCGCACTGAGACAGAGGATGCTCTCTACTGTTGCTCTGTAGAAGTTTGTGAGCAACTGAGAGGAGAGACCAGCGCGTTTCAGCTTCCTGAGGAAGAAAAGCCTTTGCTGGACTTTCTTCACCAGGTAGGATGTGTTCAGAGACCAGGTCAGGTCAGATGTGATGTGGATGCCCAGGAACTTGATGTTATCCACTTGCTCCACCACCTCCCCATTTAATCTCATCTTGCTCCAGCTGATGCATGCTCAAGCACAAAAATGAATAATAATTTATGAAAATAGCATAAAAAGTCACAGAGATAGTTCAAAATATATTATGGCACAGAGACTTGGTTTTACAGAACAGACTTCAGCAGCAGTGATGTGACCGGCCTGCTGAGGGCCACCTTGGTGAATCCCAAAATAATCACTTGCTTATTTTTGTCTGATTAATTATTATATATATATA